TAGCGAAGAAATAATTTTATTACGCCATTCAAATATAAATTATGTAACACATTACGATGTCTTCAAAACGATCATTATCTAATTTACTTGATTATTACTTTAAATTAAATACCAAGCAAAAGAGAGATTGGCGAAGAACAACCAAAAGAATAGAAAAAAATGAAAAATATAAAGCTCAATATCCACCATTTGAATAATCATCAAACATCAACATTATACATATTCATTGTAAAACAACAATTTCCATTATTGATGAGCTTATTATAAAAGCAAAACAAACAAAACGTTATGTCGTTGATACTGAATCACAAAAAGGCAAACAAGAAAAACGAGGTGCATTAATACAAATACAATTCATTCATTCAACCCATCATTCAACAATAATATTAATAGAAGCTAATTATTTATCCGATCCACAATCAATTTTATTTAAACAAATAAAAGAATTATGCTCAATCAAATTCAGCAACAACAATGAAATTATATCATGGGGGCCATTGGAAGAAGAATTCAAAAATTTTCATCACCTCAACCTCATCCATATAGGTAAGAACATTAAAGACACTAATCTACAATCTTTATTTAGTGACCAGTACGATACTGCTAAAACGCATCCAGAAATGGAAAAGCGTGATGATCAAACCAGGTGCATATCATTTGATATATATGATACATCTGGTGATAATGATATCCATGATAATGATGAAGAAATGAACGATGATTATGATGATAATTATCCAGTTCAATATAATTCAAATCAACCAATATCTTTACAAAATGCTATTGCAACAACATCCGGAAAATTTATTGATAAATCATTAACTGTTAATCATTGGCAATGTGGTTTAGATTTAGATTTAAATACATGGAAAAATCAATTATTTAGTCGACGTCAATATAATAAAAACATCGAAGAATAACAACGTTTAAAAATGAAACAATACGCAATAAACGATTGTGCGGTTGTCGCCGAATTATTCTTTCATATGTATTCTGACAAAGCAGACAATCACCAAGTACCTAAAACACCAACAACAACATCAACAAATATTATTATGCACTTGGAAAATGAATTATTAGATATTAGCGAAGATGAATTAATTGAAATTTTAAAACCAAAGTTCGATAAACGTGAACCAACATCATATTCACCACACGATGAACCATATGCACTAACAATTGAAACAACACAAGCAGAAATGAATGAATTCAACTTAAATGAACAACAACAACAACAATTATCAAATACACAAACCACCAACAGCACAATATCAAAATCAGAAAAACAAAAACAAAAAAATGAAAAACTTAAATGGAAACAACGAAACAGACCAGATTTTCAAAATAAATTAACAAGGCCAATATATTATAAATATGACTTTAGAAAAATACATGCTCAATTGAGTCTATTGGCTTTTTTATTTCAAATTGAATTCTAAAATCAAAAAACCACACCAATTTCTTCCGAATCAAACTTTTCTCGCTTGATACTACGTAGTCTCACTAAAAACCCTTAGTCCCCCCTAATCCTGCAAAGTCCCCCTTAGTCCTCCCCACAAAAAGCTTAGTCCCCGCTTAGTCCCCTGTGCAGGGGACTAAAGCCTATAGTACACAAAACCACAAGCACACCCTCACCCTCACTCGCGCGCCCACACCCGCACCATGGGTGTGGGTGTGTGTGTGGGTCCCAGACCAACACCCACACCCTCAGTCATCCCCCCCCTCACTCCTAGACTCACGTTTCAGTTTGAAATCAAGTATTATTTTTATTTGATAAATTCAGACTGAAATTAAATAGCCCATTGTATGGCTCAATTACGTGATGATAACATACATACAAGTCATCAAATAACAATTAATCGTAAATACCATGAAGTTATTATTGGCTTTAAATCTCGACAAGAATTAGAACATGCAACAAATATTATAAAAATAAATTATTTTTCAAAAGCACAATACTCTGATCGATGAAGTTAAAAATAAAAACAAATAAATATACAAAAATCATAAAAAAAAAATTAATTATGAATAATATTTAGAAAATAAACAACTACAACAGCACAACGACAACATAAACAAAGAAGTATAATATAATTCTAAACAATCATAATAATTTATTTATTTATTTAGAACGTCAACATCTATGATATGAATTTTATCTACTCATGGGAAAATCCTCCAATGAAATAATTCATCATTATTGATCCCAAATTATCATTTCTGATTTCACATTGTACACATGGTACACAACACCTATTCCTGTGACATCTTTACAACGTGGTGGACAATCTACTGATAAAACAATATATTTATGAACTTTATCAATCACAATTTAATCATGGAAAAATCAACATCAAATCGTTTATGACGTACAATCAATGTCACTTAAAGATATGTTACTAACTTTAAACAAACAATACAAAGAAGAAATATAAATGAATATATGTTGGTAAAAATAATTTCTCAATTGAATCAAACTCTTCAATCACAACTTAGTCAACAAGATTTAAATAATATTATTTCTATTCAAATTAAAGATATAGTCATATTAGATAAATATTTTCGAAATGGAATTGAAGAAAATAAAAAGATGGATGGATTAATAAAGTTTATACATCTCAAATATTAAAAAAAAAGAGAAATTTTTGAAAAGGATTGGAAAATGGTTTACTTATTAAGAAAACGATTAAATCAAAATGAAATTTTTTCATGGTCATCACAATTTAAATCTGGACAAGAATTATTATATCAACTTCATTGAATTAACATTCAATGTCCATCAACGACATTTGATCAGTATGCACCAATTATTTGTCAATTACAATTTGAAGATCCATTAACTATTGATTTACCGTACAATTCAAATTCATCATTTGAATATATTATAGATGAAAAATTAAAATCATTATGAATATCGACATTAGAGAAATCATTAGCATCAATATTAACAATAAATGATTTGGCATTCAATGCTACATTTCTTTTACGAACAGTAAATAGTTAAATCTCTATTGGTATGATTTATGTATAGATACGTATACAATGTGTAATAATCAAAATTCTTTAATAACATTGATATCAAAAAATGAATTTTTATCAACTAAATTAACATCTCAAGTTAATAGACAATTACAAGATCCTGTTGTTATTATGATGGGACACATACCATCATGGATAGCAGAAATGGCTTATTCATGTTTACTTTTAATTCCATCTGAAACACGACAAATGCTTTTTCTATCCATGTGCATTTGATCGTGAACGTGCAATATTTCAACGTGTGAGGACACACATTTCATAAGAGGGGAGGATTGTTACAGGCCTCTATCCACCTCCTCTATCTATCTCTCTTTGCAATTGTTATTCTTTTTCTTTTTTCTCTCTTCTTCTTCGCTATTGTATCTTGTAATATATATGTACGTGTTGTTAAGGACATTTGAAGATATATATACATTTTACATAAACAAACGTAAGCTCGTCGAAGCGAGCTAACAAGCGTGGTTTTTTATCTCGTTCTGTTGCCTTTCTGCGTCGATACATATATTTCTGCATGCCCATCACCAATACTGTATCCTTTTTGCTTTCTTTCTTATCGCAACCAGCACACATTTCTGCTTTGCCTCGCCACTTTGCTTTCTTATTATTCACGTTTTTCCAGTTACGATACATACATTTTCTTTGTCGTTTAGCATCTTGTCTGATATTTTTAGTATCATTTTGATTATTTTCATTCTTACTCTTTTAATTTAAGATGGATGGAGAATTTCTTTGTTTTTCCGTGGTTTCTGTTTATAAAATATTTTTCTTTTAGATATCGTGATCTCATATATTGATTTCCAATCGTACTACTATAAAACTATTACAAACAATGGTGAAAGTACTCATTGTTGGTGGGACTGGTCCTGTAGGACAGACATTATCCAAATTATTTCTTTCAAGTCAAACACCTTTTCTTATTGGCAGTCGCAATCCAATATCAATAAATAATGAGAATGATAATGTTGCTTCTCAGTCAACTTCAAATTGGATTCATATGGATTTGACAAAAAACGAAGGAATAAATAAATCTATAGATGATGATGTAGATACAATATTATATCTTGCAAGCTTGCCTCAAGCAACAACAAATGATGGTCAGCCTATCGATATAACTTTAACAAAGAATTTATTAAATTCTATTCAGAAAAAAAATATTAAACACTTGGTATATCTTTCAATTGTAGGAGTTGATAAAATGCCCTTTTCGTATTACAAAGGAAAACTGGAATGTGAACGTTTAATCAAAGAAAGTGGTATTCCATATACCATACTGAGAGCCACTCAGTTTCACAGTCTTGTAGAGGATATTGCAAATTATTTACTGAATTATCCAATGGATATTGTTTCAAAAGTTGCAAAAATACAGCCTATTCAAGTAGAAGCAGTAGCTATGGAATTGGCTAAAATTGTAAAAGAACCACCGTTGAATAGCACATATGATATTGGTGGTAGAAAGATATATACGATGAAAGAAATAGCGGATTCATTATTGGAAGCGCGTCCAGAAAAGGAATCGACGGTTAACATGCCGATAATTGGTGAAATTCTCAATGGATTCGCCGAAGGTTACAATACTTGTGACAATATTTCATTAAATTCTAATACGTGGGAAGAATATTTAGCCAACAAATATCCTAAATAACCTTCTAGTTTCGACAGACATTCGAAAATATTAGAAATAAATCTAACCTTGTTTTATGTACGAATAGGGTGCGAATTTCAATGTAGCCTTTTTTTCTAAATAAAATATAAATTATATCGAATTTTCATGTTCTTTATACAGAGAAATAGAGCTAATCTGACTGATCATAGCTTGTAATGTACATTAGACAATAATGTACGGTTAGAGTATGATAATTAAATATGTTGCCACTTATTAGCTGGAAGACTGGTTAATTCATCTATGTAAGACTGCTACTTCAGCTTAATACCAGCTGTCTTATTCTTTCCATTTTTTGTCATATTCTCTGAGTACTGATCGAGAAAAATTTGAATAAACTGCTACATAGAACAAAACAGATTTATAGGAAACATTGTATATTCTTTTCCGACTTAGAACTTAATGAACAGATGCAATTTGCGTGTTTCTCGCCAATATTCCTTGAAGCAAAAGTCAACTCAAGCTAATATGAAACTGGAGGATTCTTTAAAGAAAAATATTTTGAGGGTGAGGATGAGAGTGAGAAAGAGATTCTCACGTACTAACCCACTCACGTCATCGAATTGAGTCGAATCGGACTTCTTTTCATTCATGTCGATTTCTGATAGCTACCGTGGTGCTGCTGGTATCGCGATGAACGCCTCTGGATTATGAATGTTAGATAGGTCACTGTATTGATTCATATTTTCTTATCAACAGCATATAGTCATATCAGAATACGATTATTGTCATTGGGCAACAACATGTAATTCTTCTTACTAGTACAATGTTATTTACTATTATTAACTGTAAATGTAATGACTGTCAATCCCATATGAGATTGTTCTGACAGATGGCACTCATGCTCACGTATACTCATTGCAAAGCTTTCTTACAAATGATAGGAATAAGAACAAAATCTATCTTCTTGCAGTTTAGTATTTTATATGTGTATGTGTTACTCGGTGAGATATGTGAATATGTATATGATCTCAGCATTATTCGACGGAACTTTTGTAGCAATTTTCGTGTTTTATGGATTGTTGAGATAGTTATTATCGACTCGTTGCAATATGTTCTGATTCTGTTTGCATTTTCCTATATTGTGATGTTGAAGGATTATTTCTTCTTACTAAACATTTAGAGAATCTGACTCGGAAAAACAAGAGTGAGTAATTAAACCTCATCACCAGATATTGCTAACATCTGTAGCTATCACTGAAATTAAAATCTAAGCGCTACCAGTGATAACAATGTCGCAACAAGTAAAAAAATTCATTGCATCGCCTGTATTAAATTAATTCTAGCTGTTGTTCCGTCTGTTGTCTTTGGCATATTCGAGCAATATCTAGAATTACTACAACGTAAACAGTCAATATTCGAGAACTGTATCGATGTAATCTCAGATCTACTCATCAGTTCACACTTCAATCGGAACAACATCGAACATCTTCAGCCAATTCGAAAGAAAGTACTCGGTACTCTCCATCATCTCGATGTGACGTACAAGCGAAATATCATATTTTTCCTGTACACAAATCGATTGATTCAGGCCGATGCTCGACCTGCACATCGACTAGATTTGAGCGGTGCCGATCTTAATGATGTTAAGTTTATTAGATCGAAGTTTGTTCATTTTAATCTCCAGTATTTGTATTTTCGAGGTGTCCTCGCGTCAAATAATGTTTTCTCCGGTTGTAATCTTCAATCAGCGAACTTTGAAGGAAGTGTAATGGATGGAAGCCTATTTTACAATTTTTGGTTGGTGTTCTCCACATTCGCGAATGCCAATTTTGAACTAGCTACGTTTGTTAACAGCTACATGTATGGAGAAAATTTTGCGGGTGCGACATTGTTTCAATCAGCATTCGCAAATACTTTCGGATTTGTCTATATGAATTTGACTAACACAGATCTATACAAGAGCATGTTATGTTGTTTTTCTCTAATCTATTTTACTTCATGTATTAGTTACGTTTGTTAACCCCGATGAATGTCTTTGTCACCTAGATTCCTTTATCTAAATATAATCTCTTCATACCTAGTCCGCATTTTCACACGTAAACACACATACATATTGTGGTCTTCTACCTCATTATCTCAACATCGTCTACTACGTTTCTTTTCTAATAAGCTTCTATAACCTGTAAATGATTTCTGTCCAATATTACATCTAACTTAATATTGGTATATAAACAATAAACTTCGAAATTAGCTGCATAACCCGGTCGGTTTATTTTTATTTCTTGGCAACCTTCTTTAATTGTTCTCTGAAAATTGGATATCCGAAGTCGGTTAGCCGAACAGCGAGCCATCAATAACGAACGTCTTAGACAACAAAGTGCAGCACGGATTTTAATTAATGGTATGAAGCCATTAAGTCAATTTACGGAAGCGGAAGAACAAGACGTAAGCGTTTGGATACAGGACTTTGAACAAATGGTCAACGCAGCTGATGGTGACTCAAAAACTAAACGAAAAGCTGTCGTTCTATATTTAAGTGGTGATGTCAAGAAGTGGTATCGACTAGCTAATGTTGAGAATGATGAATGGTCAGTATTTCGACCAAAACTAATTGCAGCCTTTACGTCAACATCAGAACAGCTAAAAGCAATGACAAAATTAATGAATCGAGAACAAGATGTGAATGAATTAGCTTTAAGCGCAAAGTTTAATCCACAGATGAATGAAACTGAAAAGCTATTGCTTTTATTACAAATTTATTCAATATAAAGACTCTATGTTCTGTGGCTCAACGAACAAATCCTGGACAATCAGCATAGATTATCATCACCAAATCTGCTGACCAGTTAGATCGTCAAATGCATTTCCGTGTCAAGCAAACCCGAAAGAGATGTGCTTACTGTAGCACAAAAGAAGTACGACTTCGATCAATCATTACATGGTCTAATTGCAAACTGGCTTTTTGCGTAATCAACAAGAAAAACTGTTTCTTTGAATATAGTAAACGTTTCATGGAAAGATTTTAAATCAAAGTCGATAAACTGATGAAAACAAGCGATTTTCAATAAAAATAATTCGCTTGAACCGTTGACAATTTAGTTTTTCAGTTATTAGAATTTTGAAAATATGAGTCTTTATTATGTTTATCAAAAATCGATACAATATAAAAATAAATATTTAAAATATTTCTTTAAGAAAATTATTTTTTACATAATTTTATCGTTTTTTTTTATTTTTAAAAAATCTTACCACCATAGATAACAATTATCATGAATTCTTTTTATTTTATAATCATCCAGTAATTTCTCTGATTCGATTAATGTCTTTAATTGTTCAGTTCCTATTATTCCTATTTTTAAGAAATATAATGAAAATAAAGGACGAATTGTATTAATATTTTTCTTTTTTCGTAATAAGAATCTAACAGTTGATATAAGAGATTGATATGATATTTCCATAGTTAAATGTTCCAATTGAGAACAGAGATTAATTAATAATTTAACTTTTCTTAATGAACATTTATGTTTAATTGTAATATTTTTCATATTATTTGTATTTGAAATTAATTGAGAATTTTCATTTTGTTTTAATGACATAGAATCACGTTTATCAAATAAAATTGTATGCAATATTAATGTATTACAATTAGATACCAAATTTAATATTTCAATAATTTGATCACAATTTAAATGACTCTTATCAATAATTAATTTTTTAATTTGTGTTAAACAAACACTGCGATTGAGAGTATTATTTAATGAGGCATTATGCATAATTGAAGGATAGTTAAAAGTGAGTTCAGTAGCATTTGGAAAGTAGATTGAATTATTGGATATTGCTTTTTCATTTACAAGACAAACATGACGAACTGAATTAAAATTATTTTCATCATGATATGGGCACTGATCGTAATCATAACAATTGTTTAATCAATAATATTTTCTTCTAAACAAATATATATGAATAAAATACATATTACAAATTATTTTCTGTTTACACCTATATGGCTTTATTAAAAGAAAATTACATTATTTTAAATATTCTAACCAATTACGTTGATGTGCAAAAAACCATTTTTGTTCGACCGAAAATGATGTAGAAAATTGATTCATTAAATTTTCACATGAACTTGCATAATAATTATTATTAAATATAAAATTTGTATGTTGTATATGAAAAATACGTAAATTTTTCATATATAATAAAATAAGGGTGTGGGTGTGATCCTCTCATGCTCAACAGCCATACCCACACACCCCCACACCCACTCACACCCCACACCCACACCCACACTCCACACCCACGCCCACACCCTCTTTATCGATTACCGATCAATGGTGCGTAAATCCTGGCTCAAGTCGATGAATTGAAAAAGATGCAATAAAGATTTAGTTGAAATCGAGAACAAACTGTTCATTTACCAGCAGAAGCTGATTCTTCGTCAGTAATGGCAGATTTAAGAAATATTCTTACATAAATTGGCAATGAATGATATTAAGAGAAGATAGATTTCTGAATTAAATAAATAAAAAGTTGTCTAGTCTTCTTCATCTTCCCATTCATCTTCATCATCTTCTTCAACTGTATTAGAAAAAGTTGTATCATCACTAGTAGCAGCATATTGTTTAAGAAATTCAGGTGCTTCTTGACCCATCTAGTGGAAAAACACTTTTTATGTTAAGTTAAAAATCGAAATCTTCATACTTCAGTTAATTTTGATAGAAGACCAGCTGCAATTTTTCGATCAGAAATTCTGTCTGGATCAAAAAATGATATTGATTGATCAATATAAAAATCAATCGAATCCGGTAAATCATAGTGAATAACACAATCAACTGAAGAAAAATCTAAATTACAAGCAGCAATTGATGTTGCAATAAGAATTTGATATTTTCCATTTGTAAATCCTTGTAAAGCTTCACTATGTTGATCATCATGTATTACAACACTCATTAGATTTTTATGTGTTAATTCTGTTTCGATATAATCAGCTGTCTCTATTGTTTCAACAAATATTAAACACCGCTTTAAATCTAAGTAAAATATAGATAAATTTCGAAATAATTCTTTGATTTCATACTGAGATTTTGTGCCAATAATTGTAAAAGACGATCTTTTTTATCTGCTTGTCGAACTTCTTCGATTGTGTGGGTTATATCTTCATTAGTATTGACAGAAAGAAATATGTATCTTTCACAGAGATATTGCGCAGCTAGGTTTTGTAATTCTTGAGAAAATGTATCAGAAAATATTGATGTAAAACGTTTGTCTTTTTGTGGTAGACCAAGTTCTTCTAATTTACGAATATCACGTTCAAAATCTTGATTGAACATTCTTTAGTAAAAGATGAAATTAAATTAAATAGAAAAAAGTCTTTTCATATACCGATCGGCTTCAACAAAAACGACATATTTGATTTTTCTTAATAAAATCTTTAATAACGATTTTAGATTATAATATTGAAAACTAATTTAAATTTACTTGATGTTTTTCAACCATATCTTTAAGACAATCGATAGTTGTTGATAAGATATGACAACCTTTTTGGAGAGTCGTAGACATATCATGACCACTACTTAACAGACAAGCTATCAAAACGGTTTGATATGCAAATATTTTTGCCTCGAATTCTATTTGTAAAGCCAGTTCATATGAAGGTGAAAGGATAAGACAAAGTGGTGAAGGTAATTGATGTTTTTCAGATAATTCATTTGAATAATATTCAAGTAAATTTGAAATAATTGGTAAAAGAAAAGCAGCCTAACCAATCAATATTTGTTTAAAAAAAAGCTTACTATTTTACCAGATTTGGTTTGAGTACAAGTCATTAGATCATTTTGTTGTTGTATACAAGGTATTGTATAACGTTGAATAGGTGTTGGTTTTTCAAAATGAGCACGATGAATATTTGATAAAACTTGTGTATTTAGAAGAGCATCTTGAAATAACTTAATTGGTTTTATTTTGTCTTAGGACAATAAAATTATTATTCAATTGAATATAAAAAAAAGAATATTTAATTACCTGCAGATATACATGGGTTAATTGTTTGATTATTGCTTCCAACACTGGCGTATTCCGTAAGTTCTTCATAATATATATCGACTGCTGTTGATGATGGAGGTGGTGGAATATAGTGTACAATGCTAGCTACATGACAATATAGAAGAATAAGGATTGCGAAAAGTACAAACATCTGTGTTACCATGAGGTTTTCTTCTTTTAGGATAATCACGAGATTGATCATTGTGGTGATCTAAGGAGAAAAAGGATATAATTAATTTAAATAAAATCAATACTTACTGCCGCGGCCACGATGACCTAACTTTATCTTATCATGATCGCTTGAATTAAATCCTCGTTCAGTATTGTCTCGATTACCTGTACTAAGTAACTTGTATTTTTATATTAAAATGAAGATTTTTTTTTACCTCGAAATCTACCACCAGAAGTTGGTTTTGTATCAATGTTATTAACTTGATTATTTTCATTTGGATTTTTCGAATTACGATTTGTGATACGCATTGATGAAGTTCCATCATTCGCTGCCAATATAAATTTGACTTTACGACTATCATTACTTAAGTGAAAACCACCGCGGCCACCACGATTTTCTTTCCGTAGCTCAGGACAATCTCGGCGTATGTGACCAATCTTATTGCAGTTATAACATGCTTTTACACCATCATTATCCGATCCAAATCTTCCATCACCACTACGGCTGCTTCGGCCTGAAAAGGAAATGTTACTACACAACTATAAAAGTCAAACTAAGAATAATTACCACCAACACTGCCACCACTTCGTGAACCGAAACCTCCAACGCTGTTCGAACTGTGGCCTCCCAACATACTACCATCGGTACTATTCCATTTTGAAACTGATGGTTGTTCTGAAAACAAGTCTATCACTAAAAGGACACAGAATGAATTAATTTTTACCATAATTATTCGTTTCAGGCTGTGCTTTTCCACGTCCAATACCCAAACACGTCGTTATTGTTGCTGTCGATTGCTACATAATCAATAAAATTCAACAATTTATTATTTCTTTCTATTAAAAAAAACTAACTTGTTCGGATGTTTGACCATTAGCCGATGATTTTTCAGTCATGATCAACAGATGCTATCTAGAAATAATCAAAACAATATATTATTTATTTTTTTTAAAACATAGAAGCAAAAAAAGACTGAATTGAAGGACTAAAGGCTTGGTGGAGACTGGACCTGGTCCATGTTTTTGGAAGAGTCTCCAATGGTGTGAGAGGTAGACAGAAAACAAAAATGTGGTTGCTTTGACGCGTAAAAGCGCACATTGTAAAGCATTCAAAAAAAAAAACTTTTTCTTTCACGTTAAACAAGTATGACAGGACTTATTCTGATCAATTTGCTTTTTTCACTCAAAACAAATATTTTTTTATGCTTTAAAACATGCTTCCCGAGTTTTGTGATATGGTAATACAAAAAATTTCCATGAAGTTACATATAAAGCTGTTTTTCAATCAATTATTATTCGATTTATTTGTCATTGATTTGACTTACTCAGAGATTTTTTCTCTATCGTGAATAATTCTTTATCCATTAACATGACCGAAAGTATATTTTAAAATTTGGAAAAAATTTGACTTACTATATAAGTTGTAATTCACAAAAAATTCTCACTTTATCTGCTTTACTGTTCTTACTAAAAGTTGTCGTCAAACAAAAAAATAATCTTCTGCAACAACCTACACATGGTTTTTATCTCGTGTTTTTTTGCAGAACAAGAAAACGGAAATGAAAAAGGTGAGTGATATGTGAAAAAACCCTAGTGTGTCATACATCATTCACCTTATCTGATAAATTCTGTGACTGGAAAAAACCAGTGTTGTCTAACTAATTGAAAATACAGACGTCCAAATCTTATACGAAATTTTGAACAGAAAAATTATATACTGGAATATTATTAAGTTTCGCGAAAGAATTGTAAATATATGATTAATTCAGTCATACAAGAAATTACAAAAAATATTTTTCTGTTTGTTTTATTTGAATAGTATACTTCAAAAGAATATAATAAAACAGTTGAAATGACAGAGGCTTGTCAGGAATCGAAATCTATAAAACAAAGACCTAAAAGCTTCTTATTTAGGTTCCGATATATTCTTTTATGAGTTAGAATTAGTAAGTTGAGTAAATATCCTGTTTATCAGTAAGTTTATTGGTATTTTGCATTCATGTGCTGGTATTTTTAATTGACGACTTTGTCTGATACCATCAATTTGTTTTTTAACTGCCAATATGACTACTACACTATCGATTTTTGTGTAGACTTGATGAGGTGACAGTATTTCGTTTGACCTAACTAATTGTCGTCTATTCTGTCCACATATTTTCCTGACGACGCTTAATACTTCACATATTCTTCTGTTTACATCAGAATTTATGTTACGAATCCGAGAAATCTGTTGTTCTTCTTCGAGAAATCGTTCGAGCATAGACCCAAACGAATCATCTTGAGCTAACGGTCCTTGTTGTCGTAAGAAATGAGTAAGTCTGTCGAATTTAAATAGAGGGTGTGGGTGTGGGTGTGGAGGCACAGAACACTAACATTCACATTCACATCAACACTCAACCCACACCCACACCCACCCTCAAGGTCATTTTTTTTTGTTTATTTATTCGACATGAGCCGCATAAAAAAGCGATCATTCAGCTATGTCATAAATATCATGAATTGCAACAGAATTTTGCGACAGACTTCCAGGTTGTCTTAGTTTCTGACTAGATTCCTAAGTTAAGTCAGTTCCTAACTTAGCTCGACAAATTTCTAGCACAACGTAGGCACGTTAACTTAACGATTGTAGGCGTCATTATCAAAAAACAACATTATCGATGACTACATCGCAGAAAGTGACATCACCGAATTTCGACAATCTGTATTTTGGCGAAGAGAATACTTACCGTGGGGTATGTGTCAGTATAAGTAGGGAGATGATGTTAGTATTTACTCAAGAGAGACTCATACCTACACTCACACCGACATCCTACTTGACCACGTCAACTATATTCCGACTTTGCTATACTGATTGCAATATGCTGTTCTGAAAACCCTTATAATTGTCGATAAAGAAGTAATTGAGAAATGTATCATTAGTTGAGATAAATGTGATATAAGGCCGTCATGGTTGAGTGGTTACGTTGTTCGATACATGTCCATAAGGTACTGTGTTCAAACCTCAGTATCACCATTATAAGTCACTAACAGCTCAGTTGTCTCGAATGACTTATTCGTAGCCTGGTGAATACATCGTTAGTTAGTATGTTAGACGGAAGGAGTGCAGATATTATCCTCTGTAAAAAGAAAAAGACGAATGAAATCGGCTGCATGAAGACCCTAATAATAATCGCAGCTGGTCCCAACAAACGATAAGCCTATGGAAGATTCTGATTATTAATATACATGTGATAAAATGAATAATACTGATGGGCGGATAGAAAAATGCTTCTGAAGGAAAAAGCTCTGTTTTATAATACGAAAACGTATCAAAAAGGATATGTTATTAAACGGCTTTTTTCCGTTATTAATGAAAACGTGTCTTTTTGCAAACTTGTTTTTTTTCGTGAGCAATAAGGATATATGCATACGTTTACTGCTGTTTAGCGCCCTCTCTCTAATTTATAAAGGCTGTATGTATGCTTCGCTATAATGCAATGGCGAAAAGTGAATGTAGCTTATTTCAATCTTCATGATGGAAAGTATTTGTTTTTTTTAATCTATTTTAAATTTATATCGTTTTTATATATATTCTCGAGTAAAAAAACAATTTGACAAAAGATGTAAAGAGAACAAGACAATCTAAATATGACATCTGTTTTTTTTGTTCTATGACATATTTAAAAAACAGATGATTGAAACAGATTAAAGTTGTCATTATTTGCGACAAAAATTAAAAATTAATACTTTGAAATTTCGATTAATTTTCCAGTTTCAATATAATAAAGCTCTAATCAAATACGAGTGAAAAAAAAATTCTTTATGTTAAATTTTTATCATTTTTGATATAATGACACTTGCATAGAAGATAGAAAGATAATTATAATACAACAACAATAACGAATATCAGAAGGTCCTTTTCCATTCTTATTTCAATGAGATGTTATTCTTCATAAATAAACTGATAAATTGTAATTTTTAATATGGCGTGATGAGAGTCAACTAATGAGCTTATTTTGTTGATGAAGTATTCAAATGGTTCCTTTTGTTTTAAAACATATTTGTAGAACTTTATATATATATATGCGTAAACTTCAGATGAATATATTTTCATGATATGCAATAGAACAGTACTGTTTATTAAAAAAAAAAGGAAATAACTGTCAGTAATGAATCAAATTTCACTAATCTTGATGGAAATCCTGAATATAGACAAATAAATAATACATGTCTATCATACACCAATGATGTATTCAACAAATTTTGATAATACTTCAAAATCTATGTATTATTAAATTGACATTAAGTTTCATTTGTTTTTAAATTTTTGTATTATTGATTGAATTATTTTAGACAAAATAATTGTTCAAAATCTATTTGAAGTTTCATTAGATACCGTAAAATGTTCATATCTAGAAAATTTTTATCTAATAATAACATAGTTCAACGACAAATTTCATCAAATCAATATTCCATTTGTTTTAATAAAAAATTAATAAATAATTTTGGCATCAATATTCTAAACTTAAAATCATAAGAGACAAGAGAGGTTTCATTATCATTATCAAACAATTTATGTATTAACGATCTACATCGATGAAAACTTATGAAATATCGTCACAAATAATCATATCACAACAATAATTATTATTTGCCATTTAATGATAATAATCTTGAATTTTTATGAATGGATTGAATTTTAAGAATTAATTTTGTTACAATGTTAAAGAATTTCCTTTCTTTTATCATATCAATTCGTTAAATGTATACGTATAGTTTAAAGTAAAGATAATTCAAAATAAAAACGAACTAATGAAATAGTTTTCTTCAAATTTTCTTTTTAGACATATTTAAATTGTGTGTTCACTCATTGATTTCAGATGATTAGTATTTATGAATAATTTTCTGTACATCGTATCGTAAAATCATTAAAAATGGTCTTATTGGGTTTTTCAATTACGATCTAATCAAATCAAGTGTCTATCTATTATGCTTTACAAATGATACTGAAAATAAATAACTTCTTTTTTTTTGTTCTATTGTTGTCTTAACTTGATAAATTATGTTTTATCAATCATTTTCGTTTCACAGAAAATTAAATTTCTATTAGTGGCTTCAGAAAACATTCAAGAAATATTTCTCCTCTATTTTTTTTTGAGTTCGATATGAAGTCAATCAACACATTAGATCAAATCTTTTCCCATAAGGATATTCATCATTTTGCTAAAATGTGTGAGTCATCAGAGTGTTTCGTGATTGAAACATGTAACCAAGATTTTTTTCTCATTCTCGTTTGCTTATCTCCTGGACAAATTATAGATTGTAAATCACTAGTTTTGACTAAAAGTATCAATTCGATAGCACAACTCAAGAATATAATCTGAAAAATACTTTTAAAAGTTTTCTTTTTGTATGTTCTATCCCCTTTTAATTATTTGCTGCCTAGACTACAAAGAATGAAGAACTCCTTTTTAAATCACAAATATCAACTAAGTAGCATACTTACAATTCTGCATCGCTTTAGCTTTAAATAGATTTAAAGTATAGACAACAATAATTATGTGTAACGAAATATTGAAGTATTTGAGAAAAACCAATTACTTGTTCAACTCGGTTTTAATCTTCAAAACGAATAGAAGAAAAAATTGCTAATCTTGTGAAGTCATTTGTTTGTTTTTACACTTTAGAGTATTCTCTATCAGATGATGATATTTTTCAGTACAATTATTTATTTATATTTCAACCTTTTTTTTGTAAAAAAAATGATGTAATAGACACAAGAATAACACATATATGTATGTAGATTAATTATATATTAATCTTTTTTTTTTATATTGAAGATAAAATATGTTATTCAATAAAAATTTTTACTTGTTATATTCGTATCAACGTCTGTTCATTTTTTGCAATAAACAAAA